GCTGAGGAGTTTGAATTTCATAAGGAAGCAAATTCAGAAACTTAAGAGAATTTTAGAGCAGGGCAATCCTTTAGTCCTAACCTTCCCTTCAGAGAAAACTGCCTTTACCGAAATTTTACACCATCAGTGGCATTGCCACTTGGGATTAGAACCCAAGATTCTCAGTGTCCTTTTCATATACCCTGATACTCTGCAAAGGGATGCCCCATTGACCAGGAACAGGAGAGATGTGTGAGTACAATAATTTGGAATACTTTCTTAGGAAATTTCTACTTTAAATACTAAAAGGAAAGCAGTCTCTTCCTCTTCCTCTGCCTCTCACGCTACAGCCTCTGATCTCCTGAAAGCCAATTGTGCCCCATTCTTTTCAATGCCCAACCTCTCCCTCGGTGGATGTGGGTCTGTGGCATTATTTCTGTCACACGACAGGAGCAGGGTCAGCAGCGGGCAGCTCAGGCTCTACCCCCTTCTGTCATCTGCCAGTATATTACCCAAGCCTGATCTCAGGGCAACTTCCTTAGAGGTCACCCAAAGAGGGATGTTGCTCTTATGGGCTCCAAACTTCAGTGTAGCTGTGCTGCTGCCCCACTGCCACAATCTAGGATCTTCTCACTGGCAACGCTTAGAAAATAATGGATGGAATTTATGGTTCCTGTTCTGTCATGAGCAGAAGGGAGCAAGGCCCAATGAGTGTGATGCCTTTTAAGGAGAGCTCCATTTGGCTCCAGCTACTCAGCTAACTCTCAGAGCGCCTGCCAGCTGGAGGAGGAGAATCAAGTTAACAGCACAGTTAGCACAGTAACACAGTTTCAACATTTCTTCCTCTCCCCACCCCCACCCCGAGGGTTAAGATTGTCCTCTACAAGGCATGGCTTGGGAAGCTAGCTGGGTCTCTGCCACAGAGGCACAAGGTCACTCCTCCGGTCCTTCTAAAGCTCATATTTATGGAGAGGGATGAAATGCGGTCATCCCATAAGCTATCCTTTTGTATCAGGGAAGCACATGTGTCCTCTGGAATGGAGAGTGGCTGAAAAGAAGGAGTGGAGAATCTCATTTCCTCAATTCCCTATAACCAGACTTGGCACGATCCAAGGTACACGACTTCTCTCCCCAGTCTCATTTTGTGCCCAAGGACAGATAGCTACCTCTAGGGATAGAAAGTCTCTCTGGGCAGTGTTAATCTTCTAGATTTTGTATGTATTAAATTTCACAGCTGGAAAGCTTTAGAAACACTGGTACACTTCATATTATTATAACTACCTTGGTTTGCCAAACAGACCTGAAAAGTTATCAGATGCCAGTGTCATCCAGCCTGGCTCTTCCTGTGGCCTCAGCCAACCTCGCTCTAGTGGACTGAATGCTGGTCTCAGACCAGCATTCAAAAGGTATGCCCAAGTCCTAACCCCAGTACCTGTGAATGTAACCTTACTTGGAAAAGGGTCTCTGAAGATGTTATTAAGGTAAGGAGCTCCCGATGAGATCATCCTGGATTAACCTGGGTGGACCCTGATCCAAAAAGTGTCCTTGTTAGGAGAGGAGAATACAGACAGTAGGGAAGAAACACAGAGGATCTGTGAAGATGAAGGCAAAGATTGGAGTTACGTAGTCACAAACAAAGGAATACCAAAGATTACCTATAGCCACCAAAAGCTAAAGAGGCAAAATAGGATCCTCCCCTAAGGCCTTCAGAGGGGGCACTGCTCTGCCAACACCTTGATTCCGAACTTCTGGTTTCCAGAACGGTGAGAGAATAAAATTATGCTGGCTCAAATCACAAAATCTGTGGTAATTTGTTACAGCAAACCGTAGCAAACTAATACACTACACAGACCTGGAAGAGGCTGATGCGGACTGCTGACTGCCTCTCCCACCCAGGTCTCAGCTAGCCTGCCCTAAAGAGAGGGAACCTAGTTGTTATTGGAACCTTGCAGCCACACCCCTTCTCCCACCATTCTTGGTCTTTCCTCAAAACACAATCTCCTGCATTTAATCTCTCCCATAAGTTATTCCTCAGAAGGTTGGTGCTACTTCTTGCTTCACCTACACTCCCATTTCTCCACTTCTTCTAAACAGGACTGGCTACATAATTTGTGGGGACCAATGCAAAATGCACATGTGTGGTCACTTGTTTAAAAATTATTAAGAATTTCAAGGCAGGGACAGCAGAACATTAAGACAAGCACAGGGCTTTCTTAGAAGTAGAGCCCTGTCCTACTGCACAGATTGTAGTGCCATGAAGCTGGCCCTACGTCCTAAAATCCATCCTTTCTGACCTTGTGGAATCCTTGTTCAATATTGAAAAAATCCCTCCACCTTCATAACCTATTCACACAATGCTTCCTCCATTGTCTTGCTTTAGGTAAAAATCAGCTTTCTTCTGAGAATAGTTTCCTCTGGATCTCCCTCCAATGTAGACTGCTCATTATCTCACACCTGAGGACCATGAGAGCCAGCGCTGGCATCCTTGTAGCTCCCCAGTATTGCTTTTGAACCGTGCACCCCCTCTTACACCAGCCCTTGATCCATTTAGGCTCTTGTTCCCTGGATATGTACCTTCTGTCCCAATTCTGTACAGTCATCCACTCAGTTCCTGATCATTCCACCACAGTCATGAAAGCCTTCGGTGTCTGACTCATTCCTTCTCCACCCCATGGCATCACCATTGGTGGCTTCAATGTCCATGTGGATAGCCTCTCCAATACCTTAGTCTCCAATTGCTTGATCTTCATTCTAAGGAGAACAGCTAACCCCAGCCACAGCTCTTCCATAACCCTGCCATTATTCTGCTACTAAATCCTTCAAGAAAACTATCCCCCCTCCTGACTACAACTTATTTTTCCATCTCTCTTATTTGATTGAGATTTGTACTGCTTTGCCTGCTTTTTCTCTCCCCTTTTATGTCTTCACTTATTTTCCCATGTAGTCTTAAGTGAACCTCACAGCCCTGTCCTTCAACCATTCTCTTAAAAATAGCATCCAAGCTTTCTCCTTGCCTTTCCATCAAATCACTTGGCAAAATCCCCAAGTGGGATTAGTGAAACTTTCTGCATTTATAGTCATATATTTTACACAAATTCACAGCTGTGTGGAACTACTGCTATCACCAATTCCTGACTCAAAAGATTTTTTTTTTGTACTTATAGTCAGGTTTTTGCTACCATTCCCAACAGCAGCTACTACAAACCTTCAGGCTCTACCTGATTCCTTCATCTTCCTTACTTTCATAGTAGAAATGAGAAGCTATCAAAAATCTTCAATCTACTATAAATAGACAAAAGCAAACTAAAAGTAGTGTTTTCTTAAGTCATTATTTTGTCTTAACTGAAGAAAATGAGGTTCTATTTACTCATTTAAAAACTGCTTACTAAGCAGCTATTTTGTACAGGTACTATTCTAGCTACCGAAGATACAGCTTTCATGGAGCGAACATTCAAGTGGTTCAGATGATTTCAAATACGTAACTTTAAAGCGCATCAGCGAGGGCTAACAGTTTTATCAAACCTGTCCCAAAATACAGGTTTTACAAGACAAATTTTGTGAGTATAAGGAGTACAGTTTCAGAATTGTAAAAATCCAATCATTGCACTGTAACTCATAAATCCAAACATTTTAGCATCTCTAACACAGGCTCTCTAAAATAAATAGGCTTTAGAATAATTTGCCTTAAATAATAATAATATATTTTATTATACACTTGAAATTACACTCAAGATATAAATAACTCTCAATCTCTTTAATTACTATTTGTATGACCATACAAATAACCATGTTTTTATAAAACAAAGTGTACCAGTGTCGGCATTTAGAAAAATCATAAGTTTTACTAACAAGGTATAATTTAAAGAATGTCAACCTTAAAGGCAGGAAGACTTGAGCTCAGAAACTGACTTGAAGTCTTCCTAGCGATTTCACTTTATTCAAATTATTTAACCTTGCTGAGCCTCACTTTATTTATCTGAAAACAGAGGTGGTATTACCACATTGTGGGGGTAGGAATATTAAATAATTTAAAGAGCCTAAGGGTAGCACCACTGGCAGATACATTAAATAAAACATTTTTCTATATCACATAGCCTATGAAAACATTGGAAGTAGTCGGTAGGGAAATGGCAGGTGTTATAGACTTGGGTAGGAAGCCAGAGCACAGTATCTGTGAACATATTGGTGTTAAGCAGATTTTGGACACTAATAATGTCTTTCAGGAAACCAGAGGGGATCTCAGGACTTCAGTGAGGAGAAACCACCTTCTCAGGAAGCAGAGAAGAGCACCTTAATTTTAAGAACAGTATCATCATCTCTGTATTATGCTTTCTTAAAGACACAATGAGACCTTAATAGTAAGGACTTCATTTTTCTTAGTGAGAACCTTGAAGTGAAACTCGGTAGACGTTGATTTCTGCTTTTCTTTGTCCAAAAGTTGTCTACATTGCACATGACTTCTCAATCTGTTAAAATGATGCGTTAAAAAAACCACGAATACCCACATTCCGGGTGCAGATAGGAAAACCATGCACATTCTTACCTTCTCCAAGGAGCCACGAGTAAAGTGCAACCTTAGGACACTTGGAGCACAAACGGTCGGGGGCGCGCACAAATGGGTCAGAGTCTGCAGAGGAAGCCTCCGGGAGCAGGGAGGGACGCGAAATTCCCTCAGTCACATCAGGTAAATTCTTAGTAGAAACTTAATCCTCCCCGAGGGGAACTGAGAGTGGTAGGCGAGGAGGGCATGGGTTCTGTGATGATCTCTGATGATTAATTGTTAACGCGCACGCAGGAAAAAGAACGCTGCCCAGGGAGCCAAAAGACAAGAACCACCGTCGCGCCGGCCCCGAGAGCCCCTTGGCGGGAGTGGCTGCACAGAGAGCAAGACCCGGGTGGGGAGAGGGGGGAGGGGCCCCGCACGCTCGGGGGCGGGTCCCGGCAGCCGCTCTCTCCGCCCCCGGAGTAGCTGCCACTTCCTGGCTGCGCCCCAGCCCAGCAGCTCAGACGCGGTCGCACCCTCGTGGACGGTAGAGGCGGCAGCGAACTAGAGCCCGCGTCGCAGTTCGCGGCCACGTAGAGGCCGGGCGAGCCCGGGCACCGGGACCCAGCCCAGGCTCGGCGAGCAGCTCTGCGCGCGGCTGGTACGTACGTGGTGAAGGGGAGTCGGGAGTGGTGGGGGTCTCTGGAGCGAAGATGGAGGGAAAGGACTTGGGCAGTCAGGGGAGACTGAGAGAGCGAAGATGTGGTTATAGCAACTTTCCTATTTTCCGGCCAGTCCGCACGAGCATGGGGGGAATTCAAAGTGGACGCCTCTTTGGCCAGAGCGACCACATCATTTAACATGCAGAGGTACTTGCGGAGTGGAAGGGGACGCTCAGGCCAACAGGCGTAACCAGGGAGGTATGGTCACCTCTTTTTGCCCACTCTGCCCTGAAGCTGGACATTGGTGATATCCTCTCATAAGTTGCTGAGCCTTCGCCTCTCGCACGGGCAATGCCACGTCGTTTCCATGGGCTGCGCGTTCCCAGCCCCAGGCAGCCGCTCGCGGCCGCCAGGTCAGCAGAGACCAGTGTTCTCGCCGGCTCTGCCCGCGTCGAGCTGTGTGGCTTTAGTCCAGTCACCTTATCTCACCAGCCTCCATCCATTATTTGATAAAACATGGGAATGATTAGATCGGGTCAAATCAAGAGTTCTCTGCAACTACTGGGTTTTCACTGAGCCTAGGACACCGGCCGGCAGCCAGGGAGGGACGGGAGTGCAGTGTGGTCGCAGGGGCTCAGGAGATGGAGGGCGTGGGTCCTGACTGCTGATGCCATAGCAACTCGTTGCCTTCAGGGGGAGATGACCCCAATTTACCAGCTGTCCTGACTGGCAGCCCCTGACGAGTGAGGCTGAGATGAACGGGCCAGTTTCATCTTCGTAGAGCTCATCCCAGGGAACACATAAGAACACGGTTTCTTTGGAAGAGCGCTTGGTACAAGTGGGGCACACAGGAAACACTAAGAAAACAGAAACCAAAAAAAAACGGCAGGTGAAATTATTAGAGTCTGTGCAGGACTGTAAAATGGAGATTCGATGCCGATGACCACTTAAACATTCAACTAGAAAAACTAAATACTAAAACACTCATATTAATGGTTTGGATACTGAAAAAGTATGGATTAGAACTACTGTTGAGTATTGCATTTCTCTTGGTGTACATGTAGATTCAAAATCCATCTGTCCACTTTATCTCTTCACAAGATGCCTTTCTTCTTACTGACATTGCTACACATAAAAAAATTCCTTCTGGGATTTAATATTCAGAAAGCTCAGAATTTGGATTGTTAAAATGAGATCTGATGGCCATAAATCTCACAGGAAGTGCTGTAATGGCGTAGGTTCTGGATCAAGGTTAGTTAGACCAGCAATTTGAAAACCTTGTTTTCCTGTTAGTATGTCAGGTGCTGGTCAATAACCCTCTGCTGACACTATGTTAAGGGAGTTCATTTTCTAAAACAGTGTTTTGGAAGATCAAATGATTTAATTTTGAAGCAAAGTATATATTGGAAAAAAGTTTGCAAAAAGTTTTTAGGAATTGACTTTTTAGTTTTATCCTTACCACAACTTTCTTCAACAAAATATCAAAGACTAATGGAATACCGTATGCAGGATATTTAAAATTGTGTCAGATTTCATTCTTAAAGAATTTTCTCTCCTCTTTAGTCAATTTTAAACTAGAAGTTTAAATTTTTAGAAATTTACCCCTTTCAATGATTCTTAAAGAAATTTTGCCAAGTTGTAAAAACATCACCATAATTCAGTTTTAGAACATTTTCATCACCCCAATAAGATCCCTCATGCCCATTTATAATTACTCTCTGCTCAGCTTCAGGCAACCACTATAATCTTCTTTCAGTATCTATAGATTTGCCTTCTCTGGACATTTTATATAAATGAAATCATAAAATGTGGGATCTTTTGTTTATAGCTTTTTTCACTTAACATACTGTTTTTGAGATTCATCTATATTGTAGCGTGTATCAGTATTTCATTCCTCTTTATTGTTGAAGTTTTCCATTGTATGGATATACCACATTTTGTCTATCCATTCGCCAGTGGGTGGACATTTGGGTTGTTTTCAGCTTGAGGCTATTGTGAATCGTGATGCTAAGAACATTCACATGCAAGTCTTTGTGAGTACATGTTTTCATTTCTCTTGGATAGATATTTAGCAGTGCAATTGCTGGGTTGTATGATAAACGTATGTCTAACTTTTTAAGAGCAGTATAGAGTGAATTTTATGTAGAAGTTACGTATTTACAAAATGTAGAAAATTCTGGAGAAATAAATATTTCTTACTAGATCATATATGATTTGATATATGCATAGAGAGATGGTTGGACAGGAAACACTTTGCTTCCTTTCAAATTTAGAGCTCAGATATAGCAAACAAATTTGCAAAAAAGTGTAACATTTCTCAGAAATAAAATATTTCTAAAGACAGGTTTTTTTGGAGCAGTTTTAGATTCACAGCAAAATTGAAAGGAAGGTACAGATTTCTCAAATACCCCCTACCCCTACACACGCATAGCCTCCCTCACTCACCAGGCTGGTATGTTTGCTACAATAGATGAACCTACATTGACAAATCATAATCACCCAAAGTCCGTAGTTTATCTTAGGGTTCACTCTTGTTGTACATTATATGGCTTTGGACAAACACATACTGACATGTATTCATCTATCATAGGGAGTATTTTCACTGCCCTAAAAATCCTCTGTTCTCTGCCTATTCATCCCTTCCCCCAGTATCTTTTTTTTTTAATGCTAAATGAGAGTAAATCAGGCTTAATTAAGACTAAATTTCCTGCAGTCTCCATTGAGAATGGGAAATAAAGCAATTTGAAAATCGTATTTTGGGATGTTGATGAGACTCAGACCTGAATGGCTTGATAGTAAATTCAGTGGTTTTCCATTCCTTCAACACAAGATTTTAATTGAGTTAGAAAAAAAAATCCTTTCTGAATATCAGAAAAACCCTATAAATCCTATGATAAAATAAGCATCCGTAATTATGATGCCACATAATTCTTCTAAGTACTAATTAAACATATTTTATTAGATATAGAGATCTAAGGCCCAAGTTTAAGTGATTGACATGTGCAAAAATCATGTATTAGGGATAAATCCAGGGCTCCTATCTTACTGTTTTAAAGCTTCTGTGGTTAGTACATGCTCTCTGAATCCTGTTGGTCTTAGTAATTTTTATATTAATAGGATCAATGTACTTTTTATACGTCATTATCAGTTAGTGACATTACATAAAGAGAATACTTGAACATACCCAGAAAACCAAAGTGGTTATTATTATTTTTCTTTTTATTGGAAGTACAATTGACTTTGAGAAATCAAATAGGTAGTCTACTTTATACTCAAGTGGGATATATTTTTCATTCATGCTCTCAAAGGCAAATAGCAGTTTTATGCATCTGTCCAGGTATAAAGCATGCTACGGACTTTATAAATCAGAGTAGATATATGTTCTCCAATAACGCCTATTCTTAAAATGTGATGGTGTCCAAGAGTTGGGTGCTTGGTTGGAAAAGAAGTTCAGAGCTGTCTATATAAGAATAAAGCAATTCACATTTGTACATGTTCCTGAATAGGAGGAAGGAATCTCACCTAGGATCCTGGATCAGTTAAAATAGGATTTCTCAGACTGGAAAGTGGGCCAAGGGAATAGAAATACTTTAAGACTGTGTAGTCTGGAGCCAACACAGCCTGAACACTTGTTTGGGGGAGCAACAGCAGAAGCGTTTATAGACAATATAAATGGAGCTAAATGCCTTCCTCTATCTCCTGGATTCCGCCTCCTCATAGCCCCTATTTCCTGCTAAGCCCTAAAATCTACTGTGCTGATGAAAAAGAATCCCCTTTGGGAGTGTGGAAATAAGCATGGTTAACTGTAAGTTTTCACTTTTTGGGTGAAGGAAAGGAAGAAACTGAGGTTCAGTGTGATAGTTTCAGGAATAAATTCGTGGAAGACAGGAAGGAGTTACGCTGTCTTCCCAAACATGCTTATATCAAATGACTATGAAGTGATTTATTTCTACACTAATCTTTATGGGCTGGGTTAATACGTCTCAGAAGAAAACACTGTTCTTAAAATCAGTGTGTATGTGTGTGTGTGTGTGTGTGTGTGTGTGTGTGTGTGTGTGTGTGTGTGTAAACAAGGATGGCTTATAACTCATGCAGTTACATTCGTTTATTATTTTTGTTTATTTAAAAAATGAGAATAAGTACTTCTATCATGGGGCTTCTGGAGCCAGGTATAATATTAAATCTCAAAACACTGAAATAAGCCCCTCTTGTCTGTCTTTCCCAAATCTAATAAAATCTATAAAAAGCTAGATTATAGATATAATGGATTTTGTTGCATTCTGAAGGTTTGTAAAGAATCTATCAAGTCAGGAGAAGATGTTACAAAGGACAGGGCTTGCACACAAACCACTCTGCCTCTCAGTTTCTGTATCCCTGAAGAAGGATGTCTATCATAATTATGCGCATTGCAGTAAAGCAGCAGAACTTTTCACGGTAGTGAAAAATTAGAAAAACAAACCAAAAAAAGCAACTGTACATCTTTCTAACATGCCATGAAGCTGTATGTATATATCTATATATACTCTTGTAGCTTGGAGAAGATTGGATTTGAGGAGTACTGGACAGACTGTTGTAGCCCAAGCAAGAGGTGCTAGAGAGTGATTCAGGGATTAGGGATAAACAGGAGTAGCAGAGTCTAGAAATATTAGGAGTGGAAAATGATCAGGCTTGATGATAACTGGGATATGAATTTAAAGGGAGGTGGGAATGAAGGGTGGTTCTCAGCTTCTTGGCTTGAGGTTGAGGACCAGCACTATATACAAAGGTGGCAATAGAAGAATGAAGGCAGATTTGGTGGGTTTACTGGGTCGGATAATGTCTCCCTAAAATTCATGTACTTCCTGGAACCTCAGAATGAGCCCTTATTTAGAAATAGGGTCATTGCAGTTGTAGTTGGTTAATATGAGGTCATACTGGAGTAGGGTGGGCCCTTAACCCAGTAGTATGACTGGTGTCCTTATAAGGAGACACAGAGACGGAGACTCATAGAGGGAAGGCA